ATTATCGAATCTAATTACTACCACAAACGTGAAAGAAAGGTATGGCTTTATACCCAGTTCGGCTGGAGCCTATCGAATCCAATTCGGGGCCTGTCTTTCTCACAATCCAATTTTGAGTTTGTTTTTACAACATATGGTAGAATCAAGGCTTGCCAAGGTGTGGTATCATGCCTGAAGTATAATCTTTGGCACCTAAGACCTAAAACTTAAAGAATAAGGGATAGTATTCCCAAACCTTAACCCTGCGGAATCTACTTTCGTCTCGATGAAATAGATCATTGGTTATGCACCTGTTCGTGCCCCTACCAATGTTGTTGAGGAGTATCATTCTCGTAGTCAATATGTGAGATTAATTTAACTTCACCAAACATCGTTGGAAGAGAAAAATTTTGACATGGATGGGTTTGTTGGCCGAATCCCCTTAGTAAACCATTTACTTAGTGAACATTTTTCCGTGTTCTCGGGTTCAAGTTTGGTGTATGTTTTACTTATGGATAATCTTATTGATATTTTCCTCAAATATGAGTTAATTGAATCATGTTTCTTAATACATGCGACCAATTCAATTAAACACGTGATTAGGTAAGAATGTGAGAAAGTTAGTTGTCTGAATGAATGTAATACTATGCACACCAACTTTACACCTAAATCACATATCTAACGATTTTAGGTCTATCCAACTTGATTAAGAGCATTGGCATGCTCCTCATTGTATGAATGGTACCGAATTACCATTTGAGGGACCTTAAATTCTCTCTGTCGTTGAGTTTTCAAGGATATTGGAGAGAACAATGATCATAAATGAAACCACTAACGAAAATATAATGGAATATCTTTGCACCACCTCTAAAAATGAGCCTAAAGCTTTGATTTGGGGCCAATGGGTTGTCTCCCAACTGGGAACACACCATAGGTGGCTGGCCTGGAGCTTGGTGATTAAGCATTTTACTTGACTTGGCATGACCTTTTGGGACACTTATGTCGAACAATGATGCTACAACACATATCCTTACCCGAAGTAAGGATCTTGTGCCTATAAGCACACTTTGCCAAGCCTGCTCATTAGGAAAATTGATTTTCTAAATCATCCTTTGCAAAGATACGAAACGACTCTCTTTTCACAGTGGATTCAAGGGAATATATGTGGACTAATCCAACCAAAATGCGGACCATATAAATACTTATGGTTTTGGTTGATGAATCGACAAACTGGTCATATGTTTGTCCACACACATTGCTGCTAAACCTCATGGCCGATTAAGGGCTCACCACCCTACTTATCCCTTAAGGTTCGAGAGACTGGATAATGCCAGAGAGTTTATATCGATGGTTTTTGATAAAGTATTGCATATATTTTGGGTTTATAATTGAACATCGAATTCCTATGTTCACCCCAAATAGCCTCGCCCAGTGATCATAAAGCGCAATTTAAATGATCACTTGAATTTTGGTGAACGTACCAAGTTTTCAGTTTCTGCCTAAGGTTATGCAATCTTGTACACAGCTATGTTGGTCCGCCTTGAGGCCCATTGCCATTCAACCTATATGACGTTACAGTTGGTTACTGGGTACAAACCTGACGATTTTTGTACTTATGCATTTGGGTGTGTATTCCATGTGCCAAGTTGTGTCGCCGCAACGTACCAATATGGGTCCTAAAAAAAGGATGTGAATCTTTGTCGATTATGATTCTCCTTCAGACTAGCTCTCTTAGAACCCTTGCAAGCGATCTCTTTACCGCTCATTTGTGGGTTGGTCACTTTAATGAGACTGTCTTCCCGTCGTTAGAGGGAGATAAGAACATCAACATTCCTGTAGAAAGGCGCGAATTTGCGTGGACGTTGCCCATTATGTCTCATCTTGATCCCTCTACCGCACAAGTGTGATAAGCAAATGCGATAAATTCTAGCTTTCAGAATGTTGCTCCAGACGCATTCCTTTAATCTAGCTAAAGTAACGAGATCATATACCAGCTGCAAACATGCCTGCAAGGATAGACGTACTTAACGGACGTCGAGTCAACATCTCTAGAGGGTGTGTCACCCCTTTTGGACGGTTTGGACGTCCCTGTTGGACGGTCCGGTACACCGACAGATAGCCAATTAATCTATCTTGGCCTGGAGCACGACAGATTACTCAGTTCATAGGATTCACTTCCCTATAAGAGGAAAACACGGCACAATAATGAATCCATACTTGATCGTTGTCTCAAATCATTTCCATCTCATGAGATTAATTTGGATTACTCCCAAGACTTCAAGTTCTTGGTCTGGTATACTAGTTTGGATTAGCTAAATGGAATTGAAATGAGATTACCATCAATAATGTTTTCACTTATATGGTAGCTACCGACATAAATGAAAAGTGATGATATCAAACTGTGTTTCATTGATTAAGTGACAACGTAGAATTGATTGGACAACTAAAGTTATAATCTAGGTCAAATTCCTTACCAAAGTGTGTATTGGACCTGTCATTCCTACACTACCCAAGGTACCCCATTGTGTTACAAGTGGGAAAGAAAGTGTTATGAGATAAATGAAATAATGCGATATGATGCACGTCTTATGGCGCAAGGTTTCTCTCAAAACGTCATGTGTTTGATGCCAACATTATGAAATGTGGTTAGTGTTTTCTCTATGGGGATATAGATACGGAGATTTACATGCAAGTTCCCGAAGAATTACATAGACTGGTTCAAATAGTTCCAAACCACGAAACACCCTCTTAACTTGTTTTGAGGTGTTCACTTATAGATTGAAAAATTCGAAGGATATGATATACCCATCTAAGTGATTATTTGATTAGTCAGGAATATGAATTATGCCCTTGCATGTTAAACTATGAAGTCTTATTTTGAATTGCTAGAGTTTTAGTTTATGTCGTTAACACGAATCTCACTAAGACTCCATAAGAGCTTGAGAAAACTACCTCACACCTGAAGATGGAATTTGAGATGAAGGATCTTGGGAAAACTCGTTTATGCCTTAACCCGAAGTTGAAGCATTGTTCTGATGGTATTTTGATCTACTAGTCGAACTACACCCTGACGGTGTCACCTTTTAAGTATACTTTTGATCGTCCATACGTTATATGCAAATGAGACCCTTGAAAAGGTTATGGATCCGAAATTCCATATATAAAGTTCAACTTTGCGCTTCATTGTACTTAGCTCATTGTATTAAGATAGAACATCTCCTTCGTTGTTGATCTTGGTAAAGATGCAGCACCGCGCCTACACGCAACCACTGAATTGGTATTAAATACGTACCCTGAAGGTACTACGAATTTGGGCAAATCAAATCCCAACACCTCTCGAGCAGATCCGACACCCTGATTATGCTTGCCTTGTTTGTTATGCTGACGCATGTTACTTATCAAACCCGCACAAGTCAAAATCCCTAAATGGTTATGTCTTTACCGTTAGAGATATCGCAATATCTTGGAAGTCCACGATATGATCTTAGTTGCGAAACCTTCGTTTCAAGACTCACCTCACTTCACTACACCACAAGTGAGACATGTTTAGGAGTTCTTGTTGAGCACAATTGAAGTACTTGCTGTTTTCATCCATCGTTGAGTCCCAACGACGATCCATGAAGACTATGCCACATGTATCCACTCGACCAAGCCATGATACATCAACGAAGTCAACGCCAAGACATATTGCGTCTACATCTACATCAACAAAGCATCAGGAGATTGAAGTCATGCAAGTCGATCTCAGACAACCTTGCCGACCTCTGCACAACGTCACTGCAGAAGTCAACCTTCCAGAAGCTTGTCCGAGGAATTGGTATGCCAAACTATTCATATACAATGCTTGTAGTTCTCATTTGAAGTTATGTCAAACTCAGGGGGAGTATCTAGAAGTATACTCACTTGATCTTAATGTACATTTTTCCCTACGATTATGAGTATTTTTCCCACTGGATTGTTGCTACCTAACTAGGTTTTAACAAGGCACCCATCTTGGGCTGATCATACTCTTGTGAGCTCTTCTACTTGCGTCCAAAAGAAGTATAGTTTTGACTTAATGCAATTTCTCACTTTTCTCCTTAGTCTTTGGGTTTTACCATAGCGAGGTTTTTTTAAGTTTTACTTTTTTTTATGCATTCCTTCGTTGATCTGAGACTTGCATTCGCTCACTGTGCCGACGACTTCATCAACTGTACTTATTTCATCGTTGAAGACCTGATGCGCCATTTACTTGAGTATTTACACATTTAAGGGGGAGTGTTGCAATCTTATTATATTAGGAATGTGATTATGTAAATCCTAGTGTATCTAGGAATATCTCTTATATTCCTATTATGAGTTTATTACCTATTAAGAGTTGTAATCCTAAAAGAGTAAGGAATTAATCTTCCCTACTACTATAAATAAAGGCACAATGGGGTGGAATAGAACACACCTCACGATTATGCATCTCTCTCCTATTGCCACACCCTCTCTCTATGACCTCTATAATTGTTCAGTAAATTATGCCTACAACAAGAATTTAATTGTATTAAAAAAGGATGATATTAGTTGCCTGAAAAGAGGAGTTAAACACTTAATTAATTTCTTAAATACTTATTTATAATTAAATAATATAAAATATTGAATTGCCAACTAAAATACTTATGTGGAAAGAACTAAGAAATCAAGGAACTTCGATTCGAAGTTGAAAAAACACAAGGTTTCAATCAAAGTATACCTTAGCCTAATTTTCTTTTTATATTTTTGGAAAGGCAATGCTTTAATGAGTACAACAATATAATTAACCTTCAATTTCGAATTTCCAAAAATATTATTCAAGTTTTTTGGTTACAAAGTAAAACATCACAACAAAGAACAAGAATTAAATGCAGAACATGATCAATATCAATGTGACTGCTGGACTTATCAAATTATAGTCTCTCAAAAACTGGCATACCAAGTCTTGTTATTTGCTTAAAAATAATTAATTATGAATATAAAGTGTGTTGTGTGCATTGTCTTATTATTATCTTTCAGCGTTAATCGATCAGTAATGCCAGCCGCGAAACATTGGGAAGACGGGGAACCTCATAAGCCCGTCCTTACAGTGTAAACCATTGTGTTCGCCGCAAGCGAAGTAGTAAGGCCACCACCTCTGGAGCACAAACTCAAAGCCGTCTCCGCCACCTCGTGTCTGATTTCCCACCATTCTTGCTCGGCTTAAGTCACAATTCAAGAAGCTCTGAAAGTCTTGGAACAAGTACACACTGTGAGGACGTATGGTGTCACTTGGTGGTTCATACTTGAAAACTGCAAACACCCAAAACACCATTTATCATGTAAATACTTGTTCACTTTTATTCATAAGGGAAAAAGCGTTGCTCATATCAAAACCAATCGAGGAGACCTGATGAAAGTTTTCATTGCTGTAAATCGTCCGTTTGACACATTATGTTATTAAATTGTCGATATATAATTTACAATAGAAATTACATCCAAGACTTAAAACAAACTCAAATCTTTTTTGTTTTCAATAGGCTAAAGACAAGGAAACGTTTTTTATACAACAATATATATATATATATATTTACTGTAAGAGGTGATGGACGAATTAGTATTGAACTAGTAATTCACAAGATTCGAACATAGACCTCTTACTTACAAGTGAATATATAGATATACTATTAGACCGTAGTACTAATTGACAAAGACTAGAGAAGCTAAAGAAGTGACATTTTTGCAAACAACAATTTTGAGTACTCACCTAGAGTATCCTTGATGTAAATTGGACCATTCTTCAAAGCCCAATCTGTGTAGTTAAATCCGAAATGCCAATTTTCCGATCCACCAACTACGATCTTGTTGGGTCCTTTGGTCTTATTGAGGTGGTATGAGCCATTGTAAAAACCCGAGCCAGTGTAATTACCATATTGCCAATCTTTATTGGCTGTGCAAACTGCCAGCATCGAGCAATTAGAACCATTGCTAATGTAATTTGTGCAAAACTCGAACCCATTGTTTTCTATCAAATGCAAAAACTCAAGCGATGGAGTGGTGAAATTTAGAGGATAGAGGGGAATGAAACTTGAGTTGTGGTGAATACATATTAGTAATATGGTTTCTTTTATAAGCCAATTAAGTAGTGAAACTGGCCAAATTGACACCTTTTCAATATTGGTGGGCAAGACAAGGTAAAAAAAATGTTGTAAAGTTATAATGCTGCTCCTAATTAAGTTTAAGTCTCCCTAATTTAGTCTTCCACTTAATGTCTCTTTCTCCCAGTCTCTAATAAACAATTACATGCGTAACGTGTTTGTTATGTCAAAATTAGTTTTTTATTTTCTTAATAGCCAGAGTTAATATTTGGTTTCTTTGGAGGTTCAAATTTTAACAAGTCTTTAGACTCAAGTGTAGCAGAAGGTAAGAATCACATTAATTTGTTATGGATGTTGTGATGACTTACTTTACCACGAGAGTTAGAAGTATTTATTCATTTTTTTTCTATTTGATTCCAATGATATTCGAGTTAATTTAGTGTAAATAGTGGAAAAGGGATTCAAACTTAAGTAGAAAGAGAAAATGACACTACTCTAATCAACTCGGCTGTTAACACATTTTGTAAATAATAAAATTGTAACAACATCCAAAGTCTACTGAGGACTCTTACATAATCTGTTTCCTACTGAGGACCTATTTTTTTTTTTTTTTTGGTAGCAAGGTTCACAACTTCATTAAACCCACAAAACAAATTTCCATGAAAGAGGTCCACAAACAACAAACACAAAAAAGATATGGACCCCAATATATAACCCAACACAAAGTTGTGAGCCCAAAGAAACCGAAGAAACTAAACAACTTGCATCTGCCGCCGTCTTTGTCGGAAAGATCCCATCCAACGCCCTAGAAGCGGAGAAAAAGAAAACGCCAGCATCCTCCAAGTAGCGCCCCCCCCCCCCCCCCCCACAACAAGATCTGCACCACAAACAGAAGGAAGTCGTGTAGGAAAAAAACCCACAAGCAACAGTGCCAACGAAATGTTTTGAGTTTGAAAGTTGGTTGAAAATGGAAAAATAAAAATTTGGGCATTGCAATTTTAACAGACTACTTGAGGGGAAAACTGAATGTCATACGTTTGTTAACATACTCATGACATCAACAAATTAGATAGAGCCTTACGTTTTTAGAATAATGAGTCATTTTTCTTATATTACGACCTAACATTATTTTATTGTATAAATGTCATTATTTGAATAATTGAGTCAAGATGACCATCAACAATCAAAGGGAGATCACGAACATCTTTTAAGAGCATATCAAAAGCTAAGTTAGAAAACATTGAAGTATGTTATACTATTGTGTGACACGATGATGACATCATTGAAATACACAACATTAGTTCCAAAATATTGTAATATGATTTTTGTGCATTATATGGCTTCCATGTATTAACTCTGGAGAGTAATTTTTAGCCTGAATGTAACACACGATAATATTGGAGTGAATTAGTAAGACTATACTAAATGTTAGATGGTGTTATTTTTAATTATTTTTTTTTGTCTTTCAAGATATAAATTAAATAGTCTTAATTAATTTTTTTTATATAAAAAAAGTACTTATATTAAAGGGAGAGCAAGATTTCGAAACTATTACATTAATTTAGGGGGTAGGGGAGAGTTTCGAAACTCAAGACTCAGGTAAAATTATTAGTTAACTTACTTATACTACCACTCTTCCTATATTTCTTGTGTGACCAAGAAGGAAATTATCTACATCTCTATGCATCTCTTATTAGTACTAAAGGTGGCTCTTAGGGGTCCACGTTATCATTGAACATCAGTAATATCCTTACTTAACACTGGTGATCTAACATAGGTCTAATTTTCAAAACATTAGGTAGTCTTTTCAAATGTTTAAAAAAATTGTAACTAATTTGAAATCAGGCGAGTAAAGTGGTTATCCGTATTTAACCCAAAAATTTAAAATTTAAAAGAACTGATCCGTATGAACAAATTAACAGCAGTTGTTATGCAGACGAATGAGGCAAGTACGAACTTGTGCAAATGGATCAAAGTGGCTTTGGATATCTCTGTTGGTTCTCCTTGTTAGCTTTCTATTGGAGAATCTTTTTTTGCTCCAAAATATTAAACACAATTTACATTAAAAACTTCATATTGTTGCAGTCATATTTAGAATAGGAATGTGATTGTGTAAATCTTAGTGTATCTAGGGATATCTGGAATATTCCCTAAAGTAGATATTATCCTATTAGATTTGTAATCCTATTAGGGCAATGATTTATCCTATCCTACTACTATAAATAAAGGTACAATGGGATGATATAACACACATCTCACAATTAAATCTCTATCTTCTCTCTCTTATTGTTGCCGGCCCTCCCCCTCTTTATTCCTCTAGAATAGTTCAGTAAATTAGGCCTATAACACGTTATCAGCACGCTCTTGCTAAAAGCTAATGAACTTAAGGATTGTAGGTGGAGGCTTTCTTTTACAAAATTCAAAGGCTTTTATTTGTTTTCTATCAATCAGGTACGCTTAAAATAAAGTAAGATATTTGAAACATCCACGAAGTATGAAAACATTCTCTATGATGCATGAACCCCCTATATTTATATTTTCCTTCCGATATATATATTGTATATGTTTCATATATATATATATATATGTGTGTGTGTGTGTGTGTGTGTGTGTGTGTGTGTGTGTGTGTTTCATGCATTACACAATTATTATTTTGCTATATGGAATTTGTGAGTCAAAGCATATAAATAAATATAAGCAATTTAGGGTTTTTCAAACCCTAGAAAAGTCAATAATAATAATAATAATAATAATAATAATAATAGTATGGGAATTTATGCGGCATGGTTACGGCTCGCCGCTGCGCCGTTGTTGGCACCACTAGCTTGCAGCCCAACTGCATCAAGCACAATACCAGGACGACGTCATTTTGACGTCTGGACTACGGCAACAACCCTTTGGGCTTTGTTGCACCTACATGGACCCCAGGCCTCGGCCTGGTAAAGGTTATCATGGACCTGTAGTCTCTTTAGCCCAAACCAACAACCTTTTGAGTTGTTGGGCTTTGTCTTGTGCCCCAGGCCCAACTACAGCAAGTCCATGTCGTTTGCTAGGCTTCGCCAATCCTTGGCCCAACTCGCCAGCAGCTTTAGATGTTGCCGGGTTTGAACTGCCCTAGCCTAAACTAGAAAGCCAGCTTCGGCTGGGCTTTCAACGCCAACCCGTAAGCCAGCCTTCGGCTGGGCTTGCTCTCGTGCCTCGTTTTGGCAAAAACCAGCATCTTTTGCTGGTGGGCTTTATCCTAGACTCGGCTTAATCCATATCTGGGCTGCACCCGCAGCCCTTCCGAAGGCCCAATAGCCTTTAGTAGTGTTGCAAGGCTTAGACCCGCACCGCAACCAGCCTAATAAGGCTGGGCCACAATATTTTTTCGACCCAATGCTAATTTTTGGTATTCCCACATTATAAATCATACCCCATTATTTTAATTGGGGTACTTTGGTTTACGCTAATTAATTCTAATCTAATTATCACTTGGTCTATCACCAACTGAAGCTAATATGACCCGTCTGTCATTATTTTGCTTCCAGGATTTCGTCTCGATCTATTAAATTAAATAAAAGTGACTCGTGGTCCATTAATATGATAATTAATCCAAAATTATTGACCTGAAGATCACTTTTGAACATTAATAACTCAATGATTTATTTTTCTAGTTTGAACCGTTGACATCCTTTTGTAGTCCTGAAGCTCTCACACTTGAATTCCCAAAGTAACTCAAATTCACTACACTTAAATCAACATGTTGCATTTTGTATTCTTGCAAGAACCTCTCCTTTATGAACTAATCATTCATAAAACTAAATTGAATTTGTAGTTTCATATTTAGTGCCTTTGAAACTCGAAGTTTTCATTCAAAACTTACCACATGAAACCTGAAGCTTACATGCTTAAATTAAACCTACACATGTCTATAGAACCTGAATGTTCTACGATGTATGTCTATAGATTACCATACGATGTATGTTTACAGATTCCCATATGACTAACCACGTTTTTGTTGTACCCTCTATTTTAGGGACATGTCGAACTTGAACAAGCTCAATTTCACCGCTTTGGAAAGAAACTACCTGAAGTGGGTTCAAGACGTGAAGCTCTATCTTACCGCGTAGGGTATTAGAGCCGCCATCGAGGAACCTATTGACGATGACCTCGTCAACGAAGCTGAGAAAGCTATTGTAATGATCTTCATTAGAAGACACATCTATGATGCACTGCAGATCGAGTACCTTGTTGAGGAGGACCCACACACCTTCTGGCTTGCTCTGTCTGATCGTTTCAATCACCAGAAAGACATTTACTTGCCTGAAGCAAGACACGACTAGTAGCGTTTACGCTTTTTAGACTTTAAGTATGTGAATGAATACAACTCTGAAGTTTGTAGAATCCGATCACTGTTTAAGTTCTGTAAAGTGGACTTAATTGACGAAGATCTCTTGGAGAAGACCCATTTGACCTTCAATGCTATAAATATTGTCTTGTAGCAACAATATAGGGCACATAAGTTCACCAAAATTTTGGATTTGATCTCTGTTTTACTTCTTGCTAAAAAACAATACCATCTTTTGATGAGAAATCATCAAGCTTGATCCACTGGCTCGAACGCTTTGCCTAAAGCACATGAGACTAATTCTAGCAGCCACAAGCGAAGAAAGAACCATCGTGGCAGTGGTAATGGGCAACAGGCCCCACCACAGACCCAAGGTCAACAAGGTAGAGGCCTACCCAAGGAGGAAATTTAACCCAGAAGCGCCAACCCCTTGCCCCTAACACCCCAAACTTCAAGAACAAGGGAAAAACTACCGTTCAATTGGCTTTCACTGAATTGGACATGTGATACCGCTTTGGATCAAAGGATCATTGGTCACACG